GCCGCGGGCTGGGGCCAGAGCGGCCGGGCGGGCTTTGGCAGCGTGAGGGGCCCCGGGAGCCGGCGGCCCCCGCCCTCAGCGCGGTCAGCTGTCCGACCGCTCGCCACACGCACCGGCCGGCCAGGGCCGCCGGGATCTAATGCTGAACACAAACCCTGAAAGTAGGAGTGGAGGGCAAGGTGAACGTAGGTGTACAAATATGAGCGCACAGCCACAGCCCGGGCAGCGCTGGCAGCGGCCCTGTGCCTGTGAGGGGGGACAGCTCTGAGGGCAGCTGTACAGCCCCGTGCGGGACACGTAACACGGCCCCATGTTCAGCCTAGAGAAGTGGAGACTGAAAAAACACTTCAGTGTGGTCTTCAACATCCTCACAAGGGGAAGTAGACGGGCAGACACCCATCTCTTCTCTGTGGTGATCAGTGACAGGACCTGAGAACATGGCCTGAAGTTGAGTCGGGGAGATTTAGGTTGGATATTAGGGAAAGGTTCTTCCTCCAGAGGGTGGTTGGGCACTGAACAGGCTCCCCAGGGTGGTGGTCACAGCACCAAGCCTGACAGTTCAAGAAGTGTTTGGACAAAACTTTTAGGGTATGACTCTTGGGCTGCCCTGTGCAGGGCCAAGAGTTGGAGTCAATGGTCCTTGCGGGTCCCTCCTAACTTAGGATATTTTATGATTCCACAATAAAAATTTTGGGGGCCTTAATTTAAAATGCAGTTGGATTATACAGCAGAGTTAAAGAAGTGAAACAAAACCACCAAACTTCAGGATAGGGGTAAAGATTTCACAATAATGGGGGAAAACAGCTTAGTATGAAGTGGAGGGTCAAGAAAGATCTGATTAATCACAGCCACATGTAGATCTGACTAGCTGCTAGCATTAAATAAGCCTGTAAAATAATAACTTCCTCGACTTTCCTAAAACATCTAACTAAACCAGATTGTTGAGTAAGTACAGAAGCTACTGAGGTGAACTTTTCAAAAATATCAACTGGAAAGAAGCTTTGTGTAGGACTTACTGGAACAAAGCAATACCTGATAGGTAAGAAAAACTGATAAACTATTCTTAGGATTATAATTGTAAGGGAGGAAAGCTGTACTTAATGACTAATGATGTTAATATTTTGATTGTCATATTTTGGCCTTGGTAATGTTAAAACAACTTGTACAGTGTGCCAGTAAGTACAGTAGACTGCTAGTAAAAAACTGAATAAGCACCTGTAATTTGATTGGATGGCTCGTGATAGCCTACAATATTAAAATACTCAAGTGGGCTTTCACTCTCCAAGAGATAGTTCTCTTTGAGTGCTATCATGAGGTACAATTATTAAATAATTATGTGCATACCTGATGCTGACCTCAACTTCATTTCCTGTATCAACATGCACTTCTGCTTACAAGCCATACATTAACAGTAACTCAAACAGAGCTGGCGGCTGACTTGGGAGCAGCTCCCGGAACTCACTGACAGAAGCCTTCAGCAGTGCAGGGAGGTCTCGCATCCTCCTGGCTGCCAGATCACTCACCTCAGCTCCTGCAGCAGCTCCTCTTGCACCTCTCAGGACAGTTCTGCCAGCAAATCTGATAGTTTGAATTTAGTAATTCACCAGAAAATAACTGTGTTCTGTGTCCCTTATCACATAAAACAGCACCTCTGTGGGAGAGGGGACAATTAGCCTGTTGCAGCATTAGGCATCTGATTTACTACTCTGCTGCTGCTAACTGATTTCAGGAGTGATGAATAACTGGAAAAGAAGCAGAACCTGTGTTTTGTGTTTTGATTTTAAAACAGATAAATGTTTCCTTAGTTTTCCCTCCTTTCAGTGCTTATGCTCCACCGGCTCACTGTAGGGATTATCTATTTTCCTAACATACTCTATTAGATAATCCCACAGGAGACTGTCACTGTACCATGCAAATGGTTTTGGTAAATTCTCTAAGAAGCTATGTGAAATTATGCTGTGTGATTATTCAAGGTATTGTATGGCTGATCATTTTCTTCTAGAGCAAACTGAGAGCTAGAAAGAATCCTTGGTCTCTAGAGGAATCACTGGTCAAATTAATTTCTTTGTTTAGGGTTTGCTAGAAAAGAATTCTTCCTTGTTTTAAAATTAATGCATCCAAGTGAAGCCTCATTAAAAGCTTCCAGTGTTTTTTAGGATTTTACAGAACCAACTGTGTTATTTTCAACACTTTTTCTCAGCTGTAGCTTAACTACAAGTTATTTGAACATTGGAAAGATTAGCAACACCCTAAAGGCAATGTAAGTCCTCAAATGCTGCTTCAAAAGCCCCAGATGATCCTTATACTGAATTTATGAATTGTGGTTTGGTTTTCAGGTTTTTGGACAGGAAAACCTAGACCATGTATGAAATACATTAAGATTTCGCTTAATTGCTGACTGAAGTATATAGCATAAAACAGTTGAAAAATACATCACATGCTGCTGTGTCCTTGCCATTACCTTATAGGGAACTCCTTCCCCACAATAAACAGTGGCATTCCTATTGCAGAGCACTATGAGAGGCTTGATATGAATATCTGAAAAATATCTCCGATTCTCTGTTTCAACAATAAATAGAGCCTTCTCTAAGATTAATATGGTGTTTTATGCACGTGATTACCAAGAAGTCAACTGATTTCTCTTTCTCCTTGGAACACTCCCTAGAATCTTGCAGACACTTATCAGAGACTTCCTCTGAAAACTGCCTAAGGATATTGTGAATAACTTGACTGGTTTTGTTCTCATTTAGGCATTTATGTGGGGTTTACAGTTGAGTATTCTATTCCTCTGAATATTGGAAAATATTGTTAATCTGGTAATAACTCTTACCTCACTTCCATTCATCAGAGGTACACTTAAAAGGTTTTTTGGTGCTTCAATAAAATGTTTATATTTGGGTGTGATAGGGCAAATCAGAGAAGGTACATAGAAGCTACACAGATACATTTCTAATAGCATTGCTTTATAATTCATTTGTCAAAGATGATTTCCTGCTTTGGCTCAGAGCCAGTTTCTATAGATTTTTTTTTTGGCCATACATACATGAGTTGTTGTAATTGGCAGCTCAGTATTAACAGGGAAGCCACAGGATTTACTTGAGGGATTAGGACAGTTTATTTTAGCTGGATGACATATAACAATACACTCTCAGTAGAGATCAAGTTCTGCCATCAGTAAGAAATTAGTAGCAGAAAGATATGTCAAAGCTGAGGAAGTCTGGGCCCTAAATATAAATGGGGATTTTTAAAAAAGTAATGATCCTACATTTAGTTATGCCCAAAAAGGTGGAAAATAATTTCTGAGTATGTGAAGAAAGATTCCCATTATTGCACAGTAACTGGTTTTGATTCTAAGAAGTGCAGTAGCAGCCGTATTCCTTTCAGTTAGAGAAAAACCAAGGAGACACTACATATTTTATGAAATACTTTATTTTATCCTCTGTAATCCCTGTGTGGCTTTAAGGCCTTATTTAACACATGCTGTAGGAATCTCTAGTGCAGTCACCCAGGAAATGAAAGGCTTTGAAATTATTAATGAGTTTACTTCAGTATCATTTTCCTGCTTAGACTGTGCAGTGGTCACTTATAAATATCCAAAACAAGGGCACACCAAGTCAAAGTCATCGGCTCTCTGGGGTGCAGTCCCAGCACTTGGATGCAGATTTTTCAGTGTGTTTAGCTTTATATATCTCTTGATATGTTCAAAGCTTCAGTCCCTCTCAGCTGCAGCTCTTGGTATTTCTTAATTTTGCAAATCATCTTTCATTTCTCAGATTGGGAACTCTAAAAATAAGGAACTTGGGCTGCCCAAAGTTTGGTTTAAGCAACTTCATAGATCTACTGCAGTGATCAGAGCTTATTCCTGAGTCCTGGGATCCATTTTCCAGAGTGGAAGTGATTTCATCAGAAGAAGTGCTTGTAGTCCTTTCCCTCCTTTGCTGCATGAACTTAAAATGCCTGTACACTCTCACACAAGTATCCAATAGATCTCCTGCCTTAAGCCTCTATAATCTCACTGAGAAAAAAAAATAATAATCTTACCATATTAAATAAAAGACCCTAATGGCTATCAAACAGTTGAGAAGCTTAGTACAATAGGAGGTTGATATGAAAAATTGAGCACTGTTTCTTCTACTGGTTTATCTGCAGAAATAAAACTTTAATTTGCTTATGAATTTAATTTAATTTGCTTATGAAAAATGTAACTTGCTTATTCATTAGATTTTTTACATGTTTCCTTTTTCTTTTGTTCCCCCTGGCTGCTAGCAGTAGCTACACAGCCTCACTCAGCTCCCATCAGGGAAGTGGTAAAGGCAATTACTTTGTAAGAAAAATTACAAAGAGAATATAGACAAAACACAAAGTAAGAAAGGGTTTCTAATCTGGTGGTGCAATGAAATGAAAAACCTATACCTACCATTCTTAATTCTGTGAATTTTTCAGTGAACCTGTGAAGTTTTTTGAAGCAGCCTGTGGTCCATACTTCTATAACATTATCGTTAATTATTTATAGTATCTTTCCTAATTTATTAATACTTCTTTTTCTACTTCACCAAATAGCTTCAGCTTCCTAATATTCCTTGTACTGAGGCATGGAGAACTTGAGTGGATATCTGAGGTATTAAAATTCACAAAATTCATAGTTTTTCTGTAGGTTTGAATGTTACAAAGAGGAGGAGGTGCTCTGGATTGGTCTGTAGGTCCCTCAATCCCCCAGATAAGCTGTAGAGACATTAAGTGCTTTGGATGGGGTCTAACACATTGATTATTCTTTATAAGATGCTCCAGGTGCTGCTGGACATAACTCACTTTCTGTGGAGTGCACAGCTCTGAACCTCTGCTAGAGGCAGGGGCCCAATCTTTTGGCAAACCTGAAAGCAAGGTTCATGTCTGTGGCCTATGATCCCCTTTTACAACCAAGGCCATGATTTAAGAGACCACAGTTTCCTCTATGGCCTGAAAGGTGACAAGCCTCAACCTTCCAGCCTCAAAGAGGAGGAAGTTCCAGGTTGTGCTGGACATCTCCACAGCTATTCCCGTGAAATCTGTTCTGCCTCACTTCCCAACTGGAGGGTGTTTCTCCTGTGACTGGGCCTGAATTCATGAGGCACACACCTTTAAAATACATAAATAATCTCCAATTAAAAATGCTGAAATAAAGCTTGGATGAAGGGCAAGAAGCCAAATCTGTTGGTTTCTCAGAGAATGCACTGGCTGTCTGATTTTCATCCTTCATGCAGGGCAGAGCAGCTTCAGCAGAAGGGTGTGAGAGCTCCCCTTCTCCAGGGCAGAGCAGCCCAGAGACCACACTGCAGAACTGTGGCAACATGGACGTGAAGCTCCTGAAAAAGAAGGTGTTGTGACCTTTCTTTGATACCACAACCACTGTGTGCAGTTACAGGAACATCACAGCTACTGGAATGGGGGTCATGGTAAGTGCTGCTTCATTCAACAGACTGATGGTGTGGATTCTGAAAGCTTTTGTGTCTGGTGTGTGTTTTAGTTGACAAAGATCAGAAATGGTCTAGGGAAGCCCCTAAAATATGTGGTTTACTTAACTGCCAGTTTATTATTTTTGCCCAGTTTTTTTGATTCAGTCTGAAACTTGACACAGGCTGTGGTTTTTTGCACGCATCCTTTTCCTTGTTAGCTGGAGTTTGCATTTGTGTGCTGTTTCCCATTCTTGCTCTATTTTATTTCACTATAAGGGAAATTACAGGGGGTTTATGTCACATGCTCCAGTGTACCAGTGTATTGGACTAGTTATATGAATTCCAGTGGTAGTGAAAGATATTAATTTCTTTTTTCTTCTTTTTTTTTTTTCTTTTTTTCTAATTGTTCTTAGCTACAGATAAATTAGAAGTCCTTCTGTTAACAAGATGAATACTGTTGTGCACTGCCTGTCCCAAAACTACTGCTAAGGGATCTGTACATTTGTAATTTTCACAGACTACTTGAAAACCAAGGGATAAGAACCAAAAGCATAAGAGCTTTTCTCAGTGTATTCTCCTCCATCTACAGAACAGGTAGCTGCCAGGTGCTGTTGGAAATGCTTGCTCAGAGCTCCAGGATGTGTGACTGGCTGTGAGGGCATACATTAATGGGAGAAGGGTAGACTTCTTGTGGAGAAAGAGCTTCACTCTATAGGACAGTTCACTCCAGAAGTGGACAAGCAAGTGAACAAACAGCTTCAAACAAACAATGGTACATCATCATGATTGCCACTTAAACGTGAGAAAAGCAGTTTTTCTGCAAGTGTTTCAACCGTTAAGCAATTTCCACCTGCAGATGTGCCCAGGCACTGTTCATCATGACCGGGAGATTATAGGTTTTCAAACCAAACACTGGATTGTTTGCTCTGTTATATCTAGATTGGAGACAGATCAAAAGCAAGGTGGACTTTGAATGGGTATTAAGATATAAAAATTTCAAGTTTTGTTTCACTCTTCAATGTGTTCTAAATATTTCTGAAGAGTTTTCCGACAAGATTTGCAATATCATAACTTGGGAGGAAGCCTAGTTTCTGTAAAGCTGTCCCTGGCTTTTGCTGGGCTAAAGGCAAACCAAGCTATAATGTGCCAAAACTACTCTGCCTTTGAACCCAAAGCTGATTATCTTGTAACTGAGGCCAAAATAAGGGAAAGGGGACTAGAGAGGCTTAAGCATTGAAAACTTGGTTCAAGTTCTTCTGCTGCTACAGTCTTAATTTGTAACAATTAAATGTGATTTCTATTTCTGATTTTGTTTTTGCATTTGTAGAAACAAAAAAAAATTCTTACTGTCTTGACACCAGATAAAATCTACCAAGGATCATGACATACCCAAATGCCATGTACTGAAGGCCTACATTTGTACGCTTTCATCTACTTCACTGCCCCTGAGAAAAACAGTGACTTTAATTACTGTCATTTTACTAATATTATTTGGGTTCCAAAATTAGCTGTTGACTTTGTGCAGCACCATATTTAGTTAGAAGTGATACTTCCCTTCAATGCAGAGAAATCAAAAGCACAAGTTCTCCTTTTCAACTCACTTTCCTCTTTATAATGTGTCACAGCACAAACATTGTGTGTGAAAAAGAGAACTAAATCAGGCCGTGCATTTTTACTGTTTGGTGCTCCTTATGTAGCTATTGCTTAGCAGTTTCCATAGCTAAGGCTTGTCTTTTCTTTTGGATCTTGAGAACACTACCATGACAATCCCTAAGAGAGATACAGCTGCTATGAAACATCTGTCTTGTCTACAAAAGCTGCATGTGAGTTAAAGAGAATCTATAGAACAGGAAGGGAAGTCGTGCAGTAAAATGAAGTAGTGAACTGCTGATGTCTATATATTGTACAGCTTGAATCATTATAATCAGAAAATAGGGAAATTTTTTAAATAGACTTTCCAGTCTATGAGAAATCGCTCAACCAGCAGTACCTCAAAGACCTTCACCCTGGATAGAAGGAATCCCAAACAAAAATTCTGCTATGGAAACCAATTTTTGGCCAGAGAGGCCAAAGACAGTAGATGACTGGAAAACCAGAGCTCAGATACAGAGCCAACATTAAATGTTTTTTCAAGGAAGCACAGTTTCTTGTTCATAATACAGTATTGAAATCTGCAGGGACTTTGTAGCAATGTAGCATTAGAGAACATGGCACTCAGTGAATAAACACCAGCTCCATTCCTGAGCTGTGCAAAGCAGAACTGCAGGAACATGATTTGGGTAAGTCTCAGGATCCTTTGGTTACCAATGTTGTGCCTTCCATCATGCATACACACTCACACAGGATTTCCTCAGCAGCTCCACCAAGGCTTGCAGCTCTTAATGCAAATCTTTCTCTGTCTATTATGAAGCTAACTTCCTGTAGGAAAGTAAAACTGTGATATTTTGGAAGATATTCTGAACATAAAAGCTCAGTTTTTTAGATTTCAGGGATGGGGGTTTCTCTCTAAATCTTGTTTTAAAAGCCATCTGATCAAACCTTTTCATTACTTGCTCACTTCAGAAACTAGCTGTGCTTCAAAGTCCTCCAGCATCCTTCCACACCTACATTTCTAGTATCACCTACCATATTTCTTCCTAAATGCTATGACAAGCCTCAGTAATGCAGTATGAAACACTGCAGGTGAGACACACCAAAATAACACACTGAAATGCTGCTGGTCACACCTGCAGCTTACTCAGAAGGTCATTTTTTAAGTGAAGTTAGGAATTCAAAAGGTTCAGAATTTCCAGTCTAGTAGATTCAAAGACAGATTATGGCCTCAAATATTTGTGGTCATTCAGAATCTCAGCAGTCTTTGCACAAGCATTCTCAGAGAGCTGATGGACCAAGACTCTCCAAAAGGAGAGAAAGACTGAACATACAGACTAATTTGCATGAGAAGTGAGGGAATCTTTTAACTAATAGAAGATAGAGTACTAATCAATATGAAAGCTATGTAACTTGTAGCCAATGAACATTCATGCCTTTTTTTGCCACAATGGTTTTGTGAAATTGCCACCCAGCCTCCCTTTCTGTGCAGAACTGTAAATAAATCAAATACCTTGACTCTGTGTGGGGATTGGCCTCTCTCACACTGGATGAAAAAGAAACATTTTGGGACAGCAAAGGCATGGATGAAAATACAGGAGGAAATCCTCAGGATACAAATTAAGATAGCTCATGTGAGGGCAAAATACTGACCTATATCATCACACACATTCAAATTAAGGCAAATAATTCATATTTTAAATGTAGAAAACAATAGAAAGTGGCCTGGTATCATTTATTCTGGTGTTTCCAATACACTGAGCATGTTCTGTCTCCTCCTTTGGCAGTAGGATAGTGTCCCAGTCAACATCAAAGCAAAGAAGCTGATGGTCACCTGAAAAGCTTAGGTAGTTCTCAGCTGTCTCACAGCCTCTTCTTTTCCAGTCTGCTTTTCTCTCAAAGCCCACCTTTATAGACTGCTCCACTAGATAAACTATGATTTGCACCCTTCTGCTCTTTCCAAGCAGCTATGAGTATTGTACAAAAAGTGGACAACCAGTCTTTGCTGCAGTCATGAACTAGAATTACAGTAATAAGCTGAACCCTTGTTCCCCAGACTTTTGTTCTTGATGTGTCTAGGGATTGCCTCATGGATTTCAGCTTCAGAAGCTGGTAGAGATCTGCCTGCAGGGCTGCTGAGCTGAAGGAGTTTATCCCTTGAGGGGCTGTGCTACGCATTGGAATAGAGCTAACAAATAACCATGTGAAATTTTGTACAGATTTATTATGCAGTGATTGTTTTGTTGTCTCCGATTAAAACAGAGAACTGAAATACAGAATCTGTATTTGTGAAGCCTTTCATTATCTTCTGTTCTGAGTGTTGTTATTCTGAGATGTTGCTTTTTTTGAAAGTGCACAGAGGAGTTCCAGCACAACCTGGGTGCGAGAGAGCCTGAAGAGGCTGATGTCCTGCAGCACAGATCAGGCCCTATGTCTGTGAGCTGCTCCCAGGAAGGAAATAGCTTTATCTCTACTCAGTGAGCATGTTCCCATAAACATGGTATAAGTGGATCTCCTCTGCAAAGAGAAAATTCTTACACAGGTCAGCAGCTGCTTTGCTCATAGGAGCTGCTGCCTTGTGCAGAAGCCATTTCTTACTGGCAGCTGATTAAAATCTTGCCTTACTGAAGCAGGGAGTCTGGATGTCATTGTGTTCACCAAATGCTATTTCCTTTCCCCTTCAGACTATGGTGGAACTTTTCCTAGAAGCTATAGAAAATGTAATACTACAAAAATTATCTGTTCACTCTGGAGAACAGTCCTTTTATAATTTATTAATTTCTAATTTGTGTAGGTCTATGCATGATTAAAAAGAGAAAACTAAGCAAACAAGCTTGCAGATCATCACAAAAGCAGCTATAGGCATCATGAGAGGAAGCTCATGAATGAACTTGGTTTTCAAAAGTTTGTTTGTCTTAACACCAGGTAGGCATGGCAAGGTAAGTGATGATTAGATGAACAAACATTCTGTCGGATGCTGCTACAAGCAAACTGTGAACATCATGTGCAAGCCAGACAAGCTCCTGTTGCATAGAACATCCTACTTGCCATTTTGGGCCAATGGCAAGAGACTTTGCGTGAGATGCAAAATTAATTTTGTGTTGGTAGAGTCTGTGAACATGTGAAATACATACTTTCACTTCTGTTACACCAAGTGGAGCTGCAAGGTAAGTGCCCACATGCTGCTGGCTTTATTCTTACTGATGGACTGCTTAACAGCATGACTTTGGGACAGATTTGAGAAAAGGAGAGGGAAAAATCTGGGGAGCAATGGAAATCGTTACTATCATCTCTCATCCAATTCTAGTTTCCAACCAAATAAATTGATCTTTTTCTAATTAATGACAAGATAAAGCTCTTTTGAGCAGGGACAAATGACCATTAAAGGTAACACTACTTGTTATACTGGTGCTGCTAGACGGGAGGTTCTTCTTAATTTTCCTCTTTGGAATTCCCCCTCTGAGTGTTCTGGTGTTTGTTATTTCCTCCTTTCTGCTGTCACTTTCTGTTAGCCCTTGGCAGGGCTGGCAGTTCTCATCATTTTTTGGTACTGAATCCAGAGTGAAACAGCAGGAACTTAAGGTCAGTTTTTCCTCAACCCTTGAATGCATGTTTTTTTCATGGTAAATTCATCTTATCTTGCCTTTTGTACATATTTGTAATTGCAGTGTTTTAGTATCTGGATTTGTGTTGGTTCAAATATTAGTAGGATGGTATCTGAATGTGGGTGAAATTTCAGAGAATGTTTTGTGATTTTGTTTTGTGGCTAGCCCTGCTATTTGCTCAAAGGGTTGCTGCAGTTTGTTTCAGACTTCGTTAAGAATATTCTTTTTTTGTATAAATGTTGTACCTATGGAAAATGAAACTGAGAATCACTGAAAGAAACTGGCTTATTTCCATTTTTTCACAACTCTGGCAAAACAGCCAGTTTTACCTTTCCATTGAGGTGGGCTGAAGTTCTGTCTTGAAGAAAGCCATTGAGTTAAAATGTCTGCTGTGATGCTTTATCTCACAACTGGGATGGAAGAGCTGGGCTCAGCTGTGACACAGGTGGCGATACTGGACATGAAAGGCAAATTCTTCTCTAAATCACAATTCTGACATCTGCAGGGCACTTGTTACAGCTCTGCCTGAACTTGTCCATCTCCAGCACCAGTGACATCTCCGGTAACATTGTTGGTTCTAAGCTAAGCTCACTGAAAGGCAAAAACTCCTTTTACCTGTTATTTATGCTTTTTTAAACTCTTTAAACTCATCTCTAAGGGAGACAAAGAATAACATGGCAGGACATAGATCAGGTTCTTTTTCAGCTCCATCTCTGTTTTTCTTTCATTTTAGACTATAAAGTCTGTGGAAAGTAACACCATTCCATCAGAAAGATAAAGACTCTCAGCAAAACTAATATCTCTTCTAGAGCTGGGTAATCCAATAGAAAAAGTTAAACTGGCTTTTCAGTGTATAGGTTTTTCACAGATCTGGAATAGAAACTAAACCTTCAAAGCTAAATATAAATTGAGCTCCATTACTTGCATTTTACAAATGATCAGGGCATTTCTGAAAGAAAAAATCTATGTGGTACCTGTGGAGCAGAGGAATTGTTAGTCATTTATTTAAGAAGAGGAAAAGGATATAAATGATTGGAACATGGAGGAAATTTTATCCTTCCCCACTGCTGGCTTGCCCACCTCCCAGAGAAGCTTGTCCCAAAACATTGCCTGCAGCAAAAGCCAGGAAACAGCTCTGCCTTTGGGGGAGTGCCTTGTACACCTTGACATAACCCTCAGAGAGTACAGAAGATCTAAGAAAACTTTCTAAAGTTGGTGAAAGAAAACAAGGCTATAAAATTGTGGCCAACAATATTGACCTTTTCAATCAAAGTGCTTCTAAATCAAAGTACTGGTGTTTCACTGGACCCCTTATTTATATGATTTAACCTGCTTTTTGTCAGCTTGTATCACTCAGACTCATGTGTAGCACTTAATGGGTCTGGGGTGTTGCAGGAAAATAGCATTTGTTCAGAAATATTTGTACTTAATTTTCAACTTTCTGTCTTCACAGCAGTACCATTCTTCAATTTTTCTGTATTCTAGGACTTGGAATGTTATGACAGACTTGGATGTTATGTCATCCTGTGGTTAAAAAGTGTGTGATTTGCATGGCACTATTACTCTTTTCTATGAATTATCCTCAGCTTCCTAAACTGGTACAAAAGTAAAATTGGAGTGGGGATTTCCTCTATTCCTAACATGACTTTACAAATTTTCATTTTCATAACCTCTGTACTCGTGTGGTAGATTTAGTGCCTGTTAGTTCATATGTCAACAGAGGTTTGGGAAGGAAAGCCCCTAACAGCTCCCCCTCAAATCTTCTCTCCTTTACATTATTATTGGTGTAAACGTTGCATTTTGGCCTTTATAATCCTTTGTTCTGTTAGATAATGTTTGATTTCAATTAGTAGCAGACCTCATTGGCTGGAATCTTTAACATGTTGACCCTTTAAAATATAAAACAAGATTAAACCAAATTATTTGGGAAAAATGATTAATCAAAATGACCTCCATTACCTTTAGAAATCTAAAACGCCCCATCTAATTCTTATGATTAACATGTGATTTAAGTGAACACCTACTCTTTCTTTGTCTTTGTCTTTGTACAGTGATGGTCACTGTTTCTTTCACTTCTTTTCCAGCATTTTTAATTCATATATCACTTGAACTCTAAAAGAGCACTGAAAAAAATGCATTGTGAGTCTTGGAGGTGAACCATATTGTCATGCCATGTATGCAGGATGCAGAGCTGAACCAAATGCATCCTGAGGAGAGACCTGGCAGTGTCAGGTGTGCCCAGAGTCACTGCAGAGGTGACATGAAGGGGACACAAGGTGCCAAGTGTGGCTGTGCAGCTGGAGCGTATTGGCTGCTGGGGAAAGGAGGTGTTATTTAAGGATTTAAAGAACAATATTTGTCTTAACCAGTGTCCAAACCACAAAGGATTGAGCTCTCTGAATGGCATGGAAATACATGTGGAAGTTTGTCCTGTCTCGCCCTTGCCCAGCACATGCCCTTTGTCTGTGGGAGCCTCACAGGTGGCCCTGGGGACTCCAGTCCTGAATGTCCCTGCAGGCTCTGTCTTACTCCTGCTGTGAGCTGGTGCTGGCTTTCACAGCCCTAACACAGAAACCCTTACAAAATTTGTTATTCTTTTGGCATGAAACTGTGCCAAATATGTGTTTTGGCAGCATTGGGTCCCACAAGACCCCAAAGGGAATGTAATATCAGTAAACGAAGTTAAAATCATGTATGAAACAACAGAGGAAATGCTGAGCATTACCCTTCACCTCAGACAGGATGCTAGGATGCTGTGACAAAAAAAGAGGAAGCTCTGGAAAAGGAGTTGCTGCTGTAAACAAGCTTGGTAAAGGTCTGGTTTCACTTTGTGTGCTTCAGTTAAAATATGCAGCAAAACACTTACTGTCTCTGACATGTAATTTTCCTTGCCTCTGCCTTCTCTCCATGTAGAAATTTCCCTCTTTCAAAAACTTCCTTCTTTATTCACAGTTTATTTTCCATGGTGGGACCATGTTTTTAATGCAGCAGAATACATCTGCTATTAAAATTTTTTTGGTTCAGATTAGAAAGAAGTACCAGGATCCTAAATCCAGTGTAGTCAATAGAGAGACAGCCATATAAGGGTTTGTGTCAAAACCAAAACAATGAAGAAAAAGTACCAGGGTAAACTGAGGGCCATTCAGACTGGTGAAGCAAAAAAAGCAAGCAACTGAGTTTTTCATTTTTGAAAGAGGGGAAGTCTTCATCTTGTTAAGGTAGAAGAGTATGTTTCTCTCACTCCTGTTTCTCTCACACCTGAGCTATACCATCTTTTACATTCTAGTTTTAAGCTCTGTAGCCAGACTTGGCACTGCTAAGACTTTCTCTTGGTTGCGTCCTGACTTCTTGACCATTGTAGCTTAAAACATTTTTGCATTACTTATGTAGTTATCCACAGAGAAATGCTATTGAAAGAAAAATTTTAAGATAGAAAAGCTCTTATGACTATAAATTTAATTAAAGCTTAGTATTTCCATGAAGATTAAGTAGGCCTACTCAGTCTCTTTCCCTAGGAAGTGCCCTTTTCTTTGTGCTGTAATCAAGGAGTTTGCCAGACAATGAACTTGGGAGTGATAGATTTTTCTGTCTTGCATTCCCCTTAAGCCTTCTGCCCAATTTCTTCTCTGACTCTAACCCCAAAATTATATTGACTCAGAGTTGATTTTTCAAGAGCTTTATTCACACAGTCTGGCAAGTTTGCCTTCTGAAAGGCCCTATTTAGATTTTCTGTTAATTCAACAAACAGAAGGGGCAAAACAAAGTGTTGCAAGAAACTGAAAATTTAATCTGGTATGTTTATAACTTCATTCTTGGTTCTCAGGCAGGTTTCTCAACTTCTGCTTTCCATTTATAGCTGCCAGGCAATAATACCAAATTTTTGTAATCTTGGTAATGTAGTGAAGCCATAAAACACCCAAAAGGAGAACTATCTTAGTGCAGGCTATTCCTACTCATGGAACCACACCATGTTCACCTACTTTTCAAACTTCTGTTTCTGGATTTTGGCATATTCTGCAGCAAATGCAGAAATATCCATTTCCAAGCTGTTCAGAGGGACAACCCCATGGAGGGGTAAGAGGAATGAAGATGAGTTTATAACAAGGCACATGGTAGTGTGAGACAAGGTCTGCTCTGCCTTCTTTCATCACAGCTGCAGTGTTAGCTGTATTTCTCTTTTTCCATGTTGCAGGTAGGTTACATGGTACAGGAGTTGCTGCATGTTTGCACACCTCAGGAACAGAGATAGGGGATGCAAACAGGGACATCAGTGGCCTTCTGGTAAGGGCAGAGTATTTGAGAGCCACTTAATAAATACTCTTCATTGCAAAATATGGTGCTTGAGGCCAAGCTGAAACTTTCCATGGCTGTGGGGTGTGGACACCTATTATAACAGGATAGAGTCTGAAAATATTGCTGGTTGTTCTTTTCATCTAGTATACATCAGTATTATGCTGGTGTAAATCATTTTGGATCATCAGCTCAGGTGGCATTTACACAAGTGATCGATAAACACTGAAGAGCCAATATTTGGGTTTGAAATAATTTGATAAAGATGATGAATAAGTAACACATAGTATTATTCTATACTTGTGGAATATGCGGGAGGAATGTTTGAACTGATTCTAGTGTTTGCTGCAGTAACTGGGAGGAAGGGAATTTACAATGATGTGGAGGAATAGATGAACTTTATGAAGAAATGTAGCTTCTGAATTTTCCCATCATATTCACTTCAGTCTTCTATTTTCCTTGATACATGCTGGATTTGTGCATCACTTATATCCTGATAAGATACCAGGATTGCCACTGATTCAATACTTGGCACTTTTGGTCCAGGTGGTCAGACTGCAGTATCACACTCCTCTCACTGGAGTAAAAAGATAGATGAGTGTCGCTGCAGATGTCTTTGGATCTCTAAGTAACTCAGGGTTAAAACTCAGTGCAAGTCTTGGTAAGAAATGCCAGCTCTGCAGCCTCAAAATCTGTGCGTTGCCAACAGAAAGCCACAGTGCAGGACTTGTGGATTTGACTGACAAAAGTTGTGGCTGTGTTATAGCTAACTGCTGTGCAATTTTATTTCAGACAAAGACACAAACCATGGATTCAGTATTTGTGCCTGAAAATGGCTACCTTGATTTACTGCACAGTGATATTGATCCATTGCATCTGTGTACTTTCTTTGATCCTAAGTTACCTGGAGATGAAGAAGGTGACTTCTCTACAGGTTAGTAAAACACTAAAAAAAGTACTCAACTGGTTTTTTCCTCATAGTATAAGTTATTGCAGTCTCCTCTCAGCTACAAAGCCACCTCATGGCAGTTTAGCATGGTGACTGAATTAAAGTTTACAAGCATTCGTTGCTAGGATGTAAGTTTTTCCAGAAACAGTCATGTTTTTAAATTGTACATACTTATAGCATCCTGGTTGGTGAGTCGTAATAAAACACACTGTACTGTCACTCAACAGGGCATGACAGTGTTTTTCATTTGGATATCATTCCTGTAAGTAGTTTATTTGCAAATGTTCCTGTCATAATCTGGCCAAGTGTAATTGTCAACAGCTCTGCGGATTGAAGCCAAAAGTTTTGTAAAACAGAGACTTTTAGATGAGTTTGTGATGAAGACAGTCCACAAGCAAACAGCATTAGGTTGCCTTCTGAGATCCTAAAGCACCAAAACAATGGAATTGCAGTACCAGATGCTGTTTTTCATCTTTTTGGGACACAGTGATTTTATGATTCCATTATTATAATTCCATTACAAATGAAAAAGCAGAGGGCAATAGTATAAAGTTGATAATTTCTTGCACTTCAGTTCCCACAGGTAATCAGATCAGGAGGTTTCCCCTAATCTCAAACTTTGTGCTCCTGGCATTGTGTGGAAGTTGTGGACTGATCTGCCCTCCCTCCCTAGAGTGTTCTATAATTAAAATATTAAAGTATATCTGTGGTATGGAGCGTTAGCTGAGCTTATTTTAAACAAATGAGCTGGACCATGGATTGAGAACGGCAATGAGAGGAGAAGAGCTGATGTATGCCAGATATAAAGTCTCACAGCTCTGTGCCAAATAGGTGGAAAATGTTACCAAATAGGAGCATTGTGGCTTTCATGAGTGCCCATGCCAGTAGGCACATGGGCAAATCAGTGGAGAACTGAGCACCAGAATCTGGAATCATCTTTGTGATTGATCATTTCCCAGGTTGGGCTTTTCCCTCTCAGCTTCTGACTGTTAAAAACAGCTGCAGGAGTGTTTCTTACCCCATGGCCTCACTTGCTCAGTGACGAAAAGTAGGATGAATTAAAGGTCAAGCACTGACTCATGCTATCGCAGATGTTTCACCGATTGGAATACTTTTGAGCCTTAGCAATGTCTGAGATGATGTAGGTAAATCAAACATCATCAGGACATGGCACCAGTTTCTGGAAGCTGGACATCTCTGCTGTGAAGGTGTTAGCAAGGTTCCTGGCCGGCTGGCAATTTGTAGTGCAATTCAGGGATTAGCGTTGTTCTGAACAGGGCACCTGGGTGATACCACCATATCCTGAAGGACAAGAAGGTTTAATAGGCTGTATGAGTCTGGGCTTGATTGTCATAGAATGGATTCATGAAGTATTTTATTTACTAGGAGAGATGAGGTCTCAGAGTTTAGCAAAAGAAAAGTGCTGATTTCCAGGTGACTGTAAATTACTGAAAGTTCAGTTCTGTTCCTTCTCAGCCAGCACACAATGAAAAACCAAAGCCTTCTGCTAAAGTAGCAAATCTGCCTGTTCTGCATGTCCTGCTGTCTGGCATTTTTACTGCTTGGTTATGCCATTCATTGAGCCAGTGCATATTCCTTACTAACTCTAGATCTTGAAGTTGATGCCAGCAACTATGAACAGTTAAATAATGTGGATTTCCCATATGAAAATGGAGATGGCTTCTACCCCTGTTCCAACACCATGGATGCTTATGCTAAAATCGGTATGAAAGCAGATTTTGTTTTTTAAATCATTATTTTACAATCATTTGCTATAGCTATTTCTTATAAATTTTATTCTCAACCTAAAGCCATGGCATTTACTCAAGTAGCCTTTCCCTTGTGTGGTAGATCTGATGTAGAGTACCTGAACCTGTGCACTGTGGGGAAACCAATTAACAGTAGCTTGTGGTTGCTGGGAGAGAATCTCTCTATTAATGTCTCCTTCTGCTTAAAACTTCCTTTCTCAACTTCTCTTTTTGTATGATCTTTATTTCCTGAACAACAAGTTACAAGAAAAACTTATTTAACTCTTTTACTTACACTGCAGAGTTCTGTTAATGAGGATAAGTTTACAAGAGTTTTGCTGTGGCATTTACTGTGTCATTATTGTGTTCTTTTTTTTTTTTCCCCTTTGTTGCTAGCTGAATTAGTAGAATATGTGCTCAAGGATCAGCAGGAGAAGCAGGTCGAAGACATTTTTGGTAAGATTGATATGGCAAAGACTAATTTTCTCCATGACAGTGTTCTGTCTAACATGTGCTTCATTCCCCCAGTTTGAACACTAGTAAAGTTTCTATACCTCTGGTATCTTCTTCTTTCCCCTGGTTACAGTGTTGCAGGATTTGCTTGGAAAACTTGAGGAATTTGTGCATTTTTGCAGGCCTTTCTCAAAGATGTCAGTTTTGTCTCTGACCAAGCTGCTAAACATGTCACCATGGCCATAGAATATGCACAGCTTCACTGTCCAGTGCATTAATAGCCTCAAGTAGCACCACATTTACTCTGAGCACAGCAGGGATGATGCATATAAGTCCCCAGAGCACTTTGCATGTGTATAAATACAGTTCACACACACTGATTTCTGTCCAGGATGCACAGAGCTGCCTGAGGAAGCATGTCAAGTTTTACTTCTCACCCTGATTAATGCAGCAATGCACATATATATTATATGTACAGTAAATCGTTCCTTCATCCATCCTTGACTGGAGATGTTTCTTGGCTTGTGGTACCAAATCACTGTTTTGGTAGCAGCATAAATACTGCTATTTACTATTCCAGAACAGATATATCAATAGGTGACTGTCGAGAAATCCATAGAGCCAGAAGGTTTAGAGAATATCTGTATATCCTATTTTATGTTTGAGCAAAATAATGTGGACTAATTTACCAAAGGTCAGTCTTTCCCTAGAATTATTCTGGCTGTGGGAAGCTCACATGGCTTTTCAAATGATTTACGGTGATCCTTGGTGTGTTTAGCACTTGGGGGGGTTTTGCATCTAATGACAATATTTTTATTGGTTTTAGAAAAAAACTGGATACAATATTAGTACTTAAGTATTTTCCAGTAAAAATATGATGTGGATAAGCTGTCTTATAACACAGAATATGAAATCTTTTTATACCCTTTATTCTGTCTTTTAAAGGATCTAAACACCTTAGAACATAAATTGAGAAGTACTGAGATCACACAGTGACACAGCTGTGATGTTTTATCCTTTGCTCATCATTAGAGCATTGAGAAGTACTTATGTTTTATTAGCCACTGCCACTAGATTAATAGTTTGCAGTTCAGAAATTAACACAGGGTGACAAAGTCTGCATTCAGAGCTTTGTGGGCTTTCTAAATCATATGGATCTGGATACATCTTGTATCACATGATTTGGTTTTTATCTTTTATTTCGAGCATATTTCATCTTTGCTCTCTGTTGGTGTGTTTTTCTTGCTTTTACTCCTCTCTGTAATTTTTTTAGAAGAAAAAAGTTTGACATTGGACCATATTTCATGTTTTTAGCAGGGAACCTTATTTTGGATGACATTGCTGCTGAAAACACTGAGAAATTTCCTGACATAAAGATGCAGACATGTCTTAAACGAAGTAAGTGTAAATCAGTGAGAATATGGAAGTCTTTGTGCCTGAGTTCTAAACTTGCATTACAGCCCCTTGGCTTTAGCACAGCCTCAGTGCTCTTGTCATGCAGTTCTTCAGTGAAACCAGACGTGCTTCCTCTGCCTTTGTTCATGCTCATGGGCCGGAACTGAAAGAAGCTCTTCCAAGCATAGAATTTACAGTTCGCAGAATTTGTTGTCCTGAAACACAACATTCAACATGCTGCACTTCTTTGCATTTTTGTCATCCTCATGGCAATGTTGACTTTGGTTTCAGTGTATCTGTAGCTTAGTAATGCTGGCTGAACAATTGCCTCTTTAATAGCGAGAACAACATCAAAAATTTTTGGCACCAAAATCTGCAGACTAATTATAACTTCACAGTCAGAGCAAAATAACATGAGGCTTTTCATATTCATTTTTATACATTGGACTTGTACTGTTCTGAAATAGCTGAATTGAAACTGGTAACACCCCCTTTTACTTTAAAAATTTAAAATAAGTTTCATGGGGTAAATTTAAAATAACCAAAATTTTGCCACTTATTATGACCTTGCTTTCTTTCAGCTTTCTTAGGCTCTGCGGCAGAGGGTTACTGTGATGTTTCAGAACCCAAATATAAGAAAATCGGTAAGTCATTGACTGAATAAGAAAAGGTTATTGAATAATATTGAGTCATATTACCTGTCAGGTCATAGCTCTGCATGTCCTGGGTTTTATCCTCTTTGTTCCAAGTGTGACAACTTCCAAAAGTCCACTGAAACATCCTAATGAAAATAATAATTGTGATGAGATGATTTTTTGGCTCAGTCCGTGCTATAAAGTCCTTTAAACCAAAGAAAGAAGAGAAGAAAGGGAAATTTCCAGGTTTTGCACATTGTTCGACCATCTACAAGACAACACCTGGGGCCAGCAGGCAGGCTGGAACTCGTACCCTAGGTGGAAACTGGTGCTAATGTTCTTACCCAACTGTAGCCTAAAGAGGTATCTCAGGCAGAGCTAAATCAGCAAAATATTCTTCAAAATTCAGGTGAGAGCAACCAGTTTTGACTATTTTGTATTGTGTTTTAAATGGACATCTGACTCATTGTGTCAGCACACCTCACAAGCCTCCTAAGGGGACTCTGACTGTACCAACCCCTAGGGACCATGTACATGTCAGGGGGCAGCCAAACCAGTGTGTGACCTAGAGATCCAGCCAGAGTGCTGGGATCTGGGACTGCACCTCAGCACAGTCCAGGCAAGGAGCTGGCACAGAATGCATGAAAGTCAGAGACAACACACGTGTGTACCATGACTGTCATCCAAGCTGTTTTTCCAGTGTTCTTGTGGAGTTCTGAGGGAGTGGGGAGGGAGAACTGAGCAGAACCAACTGTTAAAAAACATTTGCTGGCTCTGGGAAGGTTATCAGAGTTTCTACTGAACTGGTACCTGCTGATTATAGTTATTTCGACACAGGTGAAGCAGTTAGTACCCATTAAAGGTGAATTACTTTCTTTTTGCTTAAGTTCCTTTATAGATTTGGCACTTTTAAATGTCTGTGTTTATGCCACACTAACAATAATAGGAAATGGCACATCAGTTCCAAATGTGTCACCCTGCAGAAACTGCATTCCAGATGAAAGGATCATCACAGAGCTAAGAGGTGCTTTGTGAAGCTGCACCTATCCTTTTACTGGAAGTCCTCAGAGTATTATCAGTTTCTCTACTGTTCTTGACGCAATGAAGGTTCTGAGAAAGGAACACATACATAAGACAGTATAAGTATTGTGTAAAAAAATCTAATTAACAAAAAGATGAGCTATTTGACAAAATCAAGAGTTTATTTAACCTGTCACAGGTGTCACAGTATGATCCTGCAAAGGCAACTGCATCAGTTCTTCAGAAATGCAAGACTACCTACAGCAAAGAGAATAACATGTGCTAAAGTTCAAAGCAGTAAGCCAAGAATGAGATTCTTTCAAAGGAATTGAATGAAATAGTGGCACAAACACCAGACAGATTTGTAGCTCCTGATAAAAACATTAGACCACAGAAGGTGATGAAATACAGACTTACTTGTTGCAGCTACACAGAATAGGGAAGGAAAAAGCAAAACCAGCTCTGAGAATAGGGGTGTTGTAAAACCAGTGAAACTAACAGACTAGTTCAAATAAGCAAGTGTGTCTTGATTTGTAGGAACCTTTTGATAAGCAGATGAAATTGTACAATGCACAAGCCCCTCTCCCCATTTGTTCTATTCTTGGAGGAAGAAAATGTGCTGCAGATGAGATGCATTTTTTTAAGTTCTTGTGTTTGTGACTGTTCTGTGGGAGACACTTAACACACACTGTTTGTCCTTACAAGCACTATAGGGTCTGAGTAGGGAGTCAAGGTCCCCAGGTTATTGCTCGTGGGCCTCTCCGCTCTTCTGCAATATTGAGACAACAAACTAAGCTTGGAAAATCGGTACAGCCAATGTAAGACATTGTTATGTCTTATCTGCCAGTCATCTATGTGTAGGGTTATGTACATCTACATACATCTGGAAATAAGATAGGTCAGGAAAGATGAAGAAAAAGAAAATTTAAAGAGTGAACTACTGAGAAGAAAAAGTGATCTACTACAGAATTTAATAAATACATTTTAGATTTTGAAAGCTAAATAGTTTTTAGAAAGCTATTGTGAATTGTTCTTGCTTTTGGAAAATCCAAACACAGCTGATCAGAATCAAGTGGTTTATCATATCTACTGAGACCTCTTCTTTGGTTCCTGTAACTTCTGCCAATGAGGTAACTTTCTCCTTTTGTTTTTCTATTTTATTTTAAAGCAGAAGCCCCTGCAGCGTCTGCAGGGAATGGCAGTTTCTTTGCTATGCCTCTCAACAGCCACCCAGTGAGCTGCACCTCCCTAACTAACCAGCACATGTCCTTTTCTGCTCCTGCTGCCCAGGGGCTGGAAAGAAACCTCATAATTCCTGGTACGTAGTACAGCTGTAGGTGTGCACCTGTACACAGGCTGATTTACACATGGAGAAAACTCTTATAAATCTTGTCATTGACTATGAGAAATGGCAATAAAATGGCAGGTATGGCAGCTGTCTCAGTCAAGCCTTTAAAAGTGTGTCACTCGCTAAAAGAATGAAAAATATTCAATGGAAATTAAAAGGGCATTGCTCCTAATTGAGTAGAATGAATCTTTTATTTAATTGGTGCAGGTTATAAGAGAACAGTTATTTACTATATACTAATCTAAGTAATTAATTACTTGTCTTAAGAATAGGAAGTCACAAAATTTTCATAATTAAACTTTAATTTAGTTCCAATTTCTTTTTCACCCAGAGGTTTGTAAAGAACTGAGGGATAATTACATTTGCAACACTAGAGCAAAATCTAGGCTGTGATTTGATCATGAAAACTGAGCAGTAATCCCACTGATGGGCTGTGTAGGCACCTAGCCTGGGCCATGCTGGGTAGCAGAGGTGCTCATGGTACACTGAGAAGACCTAATGGCAGAGGCCCAGTTCAACACCTTTTGCTGTTAAGTTTGTGCTGGAAAGGAACCAAAACCAGTGTGTAAGCTGGAAGTCTTGAAGTACCTGATGCAAACTGAAGCAGCACGCAATAGCAGAAGAAATTCTGACCCACCTACAGAAACTCAGAGCTATGGCTGATTAAATTGCAAGCACTGAATCAACAAAAAACTTTCCCAGCGTGGGTTGAGAGGGAGGATGCTTATACAACCTGCATGATATGCAGTTATGTGGGAAGGATGTAATGCAAGGAAGGTAAATTTAATGTGGATACATACTATTTACAAATTTTCTCTTCTCTGGATCTCTGGCTGTACATTTACAGTTTTGCCTCAAGCAGTTTTCCTCATAATAATAGGATTTCTCTTTAAACTGTTGAAAACAGTGGCTGGTAGAAGCTGGGTAATCCCATGTATTTCATGCTCATCATATTTTGTAAGAGTTCTTTTTTTAATGGGTTCAATGGGCCTCGTGTGATCCTGTGAATTCTCCACAGGCAAGATTTGCCTAGAAGCTGCCAGAAATGATGAGCTGATAGAAAGCTTTTTCTCTCTCATAAAGCTTTAGAAAGCAGAACTTTTTAAAAACAAAAGAGTAATTATTCTGCACTCATTTCAGGATTGTCAGAACCTTTGACCTCAGAGTGTCTACTAGCCAGTGTGAAGGAGTACCAAGAGAATCAAAACTTGGCAAGTCCTCCTCAGCAGATATTTAACTTTGTTCTTGAAAATAGCACATCTGATGTTATAGTATATCCAGGTAAGAGCAATAACTTTTTATCCACATAAAGAGGCATAAAGTGCTAAAAAAAAATGCTGCCAACAGCAGCATTGATTAAATTCAGTTACTTATAGTTAAGATATGCTGAAAACTATGCTTTGTTTCTTGCTAGTGCTGGCATCTTCTGTGGAAACATTCATATCTCCAAGTTTTCCAGTTAATTTATGTGGTAAGTAGAAAAATGGGGTTTATGTATGTACAGCACTTTGAACTGGGAGAGAAACCATAGTGCTTCTACTCAAAGCCAATTCTTTCCTCCAGGCTTTACTCACACTGACCTTAAAAAAACAAAAATGGATGGTATCTCCTTCTTTGTATTGATCACTTGCTGCTTAGTATGAGCTAGAATGTACAGATAAGAGTGGTAGAGCTTCAGGTTCATCAGCCAATCCCCTGTGTTTACTATGACATCCAGTTTCTGGAATAAGTCAGGTTTAGCTAAAACAGTGCAAAGCCAAGGATGCTGGAGTACCTTCAGAAAGTGGGAGATGATCTGATGCTGACTTGGCCTGAGCATCTTAAATGTTCAGTGCTGGCAGCCAGACTGCAGCCATCTCCGGTGGAAGCCCCACAACCAACATGATGATGACTTAGTTGACTAAGCAATACTGAAACCTAATGCCACAGAAAGGCTTATAAAGAAATCAGAGCCTTGGTCAGGATTTAACAGACCCAATTTTAATCCAATGTTACCCAAAGGTAACAAACTTTCCTGGGACACTTTTCTTCCAGCCATCAGCTGTTGGAACCCAGAGTTTGGTATCAGTGTTGATTCTGGTCCCTGTGCCCAGTGCAGGAGTTTGTTGCCCTCTGGTGGCTTCCACTGCCCCAAAGCAAAAGTGTAACAAGGAGATTAAAAGGCAAATATCCCTAGGTGTGGGGAGGTCTTTGTAAATTGTATTTACTGTTTGTGTGAATAAACAATGCTAATAATTCCAACTGATTTACTTCAGCACAACAAACGTATGCCGCAAGCCCCGGAATTCCAGATGCAGCAGCAGACAAATTAGCACGTAAGATGCCAAGCCAGTTTATTTTCATTTTTTAAAAGTTCTTCACTCCTGCCTGCTTTGACCAGTTTCCCATCTAAATGTCTCATTACATTTTTTTTTTTTTTCTGGTCTTCCATTCTGTTTTCTTAGTTAATAAAACAAAAAGTAAATCAAAACCAGACGCTTTCCCAACCCTTTTTTTATTTAACACCTTTCTTACTGGAAACCTGTGGTGCTTCCCTTTTAGAAGCAAATCTAAACTCAAACCATTCTGAAGGTTGCTGGCATGTAGGGTAGGAATTAATTTCCAGATCTCTGAAACACTTTTAGACCACATTCTACATCAAGATCATCAAGATGATATTATGGTATGAAACACATTTGTACATATTTAGGGAGACGAATCTGTTTTGGTTTGGGTAATTTTTTGTACATCTCTGCTGCATGTGGTTACGAGACTCTGAGACTGAGTTTGCTACACTCTCTGTCAATTTAAATTCAGTGTTGCATCTGCAAACCTCTTCCTATCAAAAGTTCTGTCAAAACTGATACTCTGCAATTGCCAATCTGTAGAAAACATGTTCTATCTGAAAAATTCACAATTTCTTTGTGTAAAGGAGACACTGTTCACCTGACCCAACTGCAGAAGTCTGCAGTAGTTTGAAAGCAAACAGGTGAAAAGAAAGAAATTTGGACAGCAACAGGACTTTGTCAGGGAGACTAATGGGTAAATACTGTTACCAAGAGTCACTTCTCTGTGACTTTCATCCTTAGTGCTTGGTTACAAGGTGTAGAATAACAAAAGGAAGCTATTGCTTTTGAAGAGATAAAGAAGCACTATGTGTGAATATGAATTTATGCAAAACACTGACATTTGAAAAGAACAGTGGATGTCACCTGGTAATGGTAGATGTGCTTCCTGCAGCTGTCAGAACAGCTGTGGTCTTATTTAATGCCATTCTGCCTCCAGCAGTGCACATCAGCAGAATTCTACTTGTGGCAGAATTTCACTCATTTTCCTTGTAAAATTAGCAAAATATCACCTACTCTGAATATATGCTACAATGAACTTGGAAATTTGCATTAATCTTATTGTTAAAATTAGAAAAGCTGAATCAGTGATTATCTATGTGTCTTTGTTAAGTATATTGTTTTGTTTCTCCAGATTTAGAGACATTTCAAGAAGTTCAAGATTCCATAATTTCTTCTGAAGAACCTTTCAAAAGACCAGGTGAGTTTAGAACTCTTGAACTTAAACCTTCTAGTATTTTTTGGAAAAAGATTTTGTGTTTCTTTCCATACAGAAAAACTCCTTGTAGGAATCATTCAACAATTTGCAAAGCTGTTCTGAGGGTCTGAGCACAATTCCTTGTTTCAAGATATTAGATTTGGCTTCTTGTAGAAATGTAGCTGTAGTACCTACTTAGCAGCTCAGTGTGCTTCAGTGGTTTTATCATCTGTACAGAGAGCTCCAAAATGATTCTGTTCATAGATCTGAAAGTGTCTGTTGTGCCTGCACTTCTCACTACCTCCCTGCAGCTGCAGGGGGTAAATCCAGCCCTATGGGCTCTATGGGAATGCCTGTGCTTTTACCATACTGCAATTAGGCACTTAAGTCATCATGAAATGATGGTGTAATTTGTGGACTGGTTCCTTCAGTCTTTGTGTGCTCTTCATTTCTTTAGAGCAAGTGGAAACCTTCTGTTCGTCACTTAAAGATTATTTCCGAGACACGTGCAAATCTGTGACCATGGAACGGGAAGTAAATCTGGATCACCTGTTCATTGATGGGACACTTGTTCAACCTCAAACTGAAACAAAGACTGGAAAAAATAGTGCAAAAGCAATGGAAAAGGAGCTGATAACTTGCAGCCTGCAAGAGAAGGAAAAGACAGCCATTGATAGAAGCCAAATATTTCAAATCCCACAACGTAAAGACTTAGAGACTAAAGTGATTGTGGTGCTGGGTAAAGCAGGAATGGGCAAAAGCATTCTGGTTCAGAAGATCTGCCAGGACTGGTCCAGTGGAGAGTTTTCTCAGTTTGAATTTGTATTTTGGTTTGACTGCAAACAAATAAACTTGCCTGAGAAACGATACAGCCTGAAGGAACTGCTGCTTGAATTTTTTGTAAAACCTCAAGAGGGAAGCAAAGAGATCTTTGAGTATATATTGCAAAATCCTGCTAAAGTCCTTCTGATTTTTGATGGGTTTAAAGGATTGCATGATCATGAGAATTTTCCTCGTTGCTCAGCCAGCCAGCCTGAAAAGGATTTGTGCAGTATAAAGGAGCTGCTTTCAGGACTCATCCAAAAGAAGTTACTCAATGGTTGTACTTTATTATTTACAGCAAGGCCAAAAGACAAACTGTACCAGTATGCATCCAAAGTGGATAAGACTATTGAAATAGTAGGATTTTCCTCTCAGCAGAGAGAATTGTACATAACCAAATATTTTGAAGAATCATCCTACTGTGATAGTGCACTGAAATTAATCAAAGAGCGTGAGTACTTGTTCAGTCATTGTTACAGCCCTGCTATGTGTAGATTTGTTTGTTTTCTCTGTGAGGCAGTGCTTGAAATGGGAGAGAAAAGTCTTCCTTCAACTCTTACTGAAGTCTTCCTGAAATTTTTTAAGCAGAAGATAATGCTTATGCAAACAGATGTTACAACCACACAAAATCAAGAGAGTCTTGCTACCCTAGCCCGTATAGCCTGGTGTCTTGGAGAAAAGCACCAAAGTGCCATGAAAAGTGATCTTCTTCCTTCTAAGGAAGTTAAAGAGTTTGCTCTGAAGTATGGATTTGTCCTGCCATTTGCATTCCCCAGACATTCAGATAGTGAAGAAGAGGAATTTGGGAGCACATTCTCTGATTTTGTCATTCAGAATTTCTTGTGTGCACTCCACCTTTTGTTAGCAGAAGAACTCAAGGATAAAAATCTAACAAAGTACCTGTCTTTTCTATCCAAGAAGAAAAAACCTTATAACTGGTTAGATTTGATGCCTCGATTTTTGGTTGGTTTGATGTTTCTCCAGGATGACCTCTATTTGTGCTCTCTTTCCAATGTGGATGCAAAACAATCAACCAAGAAACAGAAGACACTCTTGAAATACATTAGAAGGCTGCAGATTAATACTCTCTGTCCAGAGAGGTTGCTGGAGCTTTTTCATTGTGTTTATGAAACACAGAACAATTATCTTCTGCAGCATGTGGCCTTAAGACTCGAACCAGACTTGTCTTTTCTGGGCATGGTTCTTACTCCACCTGATGTCCATGTACTGCTCTCTATTTTGAAAAGGTCAAGAAAAGAGTTTTCCTTGGATTTGCGAAACAGCAGCATTGACATGCAAGGGCTGCAAGCCTTGGTCAGCCTAAGGAACGTGACATCATTCAGGTTGGTCACTCTGTACCCCACAGCATCATCCATAGCACTGTGTGTAGGTGACGCTTTCACGCAACAACAGCAGTCACATCTGTTGGTTTTGTTTGTTCTGTCACTTCACAGGGCTTCCCTCAGTGACACAGTCAGGCTCTGGAAATCTTTAGAACAGACAAAAGAATATGAACTGCTGAAAGCATCCACAGAAAAATTTGTTCTTGATCCCTTTAAGGCAAAGACAATGAAAGACATCAGTGACCTCTCCGACCTTGTAGAGATGCAGAAGATGATGAATTGGTAGGATGATTTATGATCAAAACTCTTCTTACACCAGCAATTAATGAAAACAGGGCTCCACCACCAGTGCTGGACAATGGAGTTGTCTGCTTGTTCAGAGAAGTAACTAAGACAGGGCAAGCTCCTAGGTCATCTCAGGGGGTTCTCCTGCCCCCCTGTGAGGTGGCTGTTATGGCAGGGAGGAGCAATGACAGCACTATGCAGAGCAGTCATTAAAACTGCCAATGACAGAGCCAGCTGGCATTTCTCTTTAATCTCTGAGTATGCCATCTTCCAGTAATTTTGTTACATAACTTGGGCTGATTCTTTCCCCCTGTAGCATGTGGGCATAAATGAAAACCTGTTTTGCCCTGGTCCCAAATGGCTTGAGTCAGTCCTTTAGCCCAGGAAGTAAAAGCTTGTGTTACATGCTCTAGAAGTCCTGTGTTCCATCCCTGCTGATGATGTAGCTAAGGGATTGGTTGCAATTAAAAACATGCAGAAATAAAGTTTTGTTGTTGTTGTTGTTGTTGTTGTTGTTTAAAAAAAAAACCAATTTAACATGGGTGGAGTATTTTGATTAAAATATAGACAAAATGGTTTAATGTTTGACAGAAAATAGTTAATTCAGAAAAATGTATTTTTAAGTTTTATTGGAAAAAGAGCAAACAACTGCACTATGAAAGGCAATTATTGGATTGAAATTACTCAATTGAAGAAAGGTTAGAGCAGAAGTTACTCTGAATTTTCCTGGTTCCTCAGTTAGTGCACCAGTTTATTTTCTCTAAGAGTTTGCTAACAAATTATTTTTAAAGCACTGTTTTGGCTGCTAAAATATTTACCATATTCTGATTCTACTGTGATTTATTTAGTGTTCAAGAAGCATCTGGTTGCACCAGCTATGAAATTCCTGCCATTAGAAACCTCAGAAAACTCGAATTTGCGTAAGTGCTAAAGTTCTACTGATTGAGATGGTTGTGTTTAAGGAGGAGTAGTTGTGGGTATTGGCTACAGCCATTGCACTGATCTATAGTCAGCTTAAAGCATTAAGAAAACTCCATTTATTGCTATCTTGCTTTTCTCTGAACTAGATTAATTAATTTATGGCCAAAACTCAAAAAAACATCATTCCTGGCTCCTGTAGCAATACAGATCAACAGGGCTCTACCAATTTTGTTTGGTTTTAGTGCAAGTTATCTCCTGACCACCAGGCAGTGATCTTGTGCCACTGGGCATAAAATATTTTGACTGTGATCCAGCTTATATAAAAAAATATTTTTTTCTCCAGAAATGCTGGACTTTTCTATCTGAGTCTTTTGGTGTAATTTTCTACCCTATCAGACCTAAGGCCATGAGAGGATTACATCAGAGAATGCCTCCCAAATAAATTACTTAGCATCCTTTCTTTTCTGGAAAAAGGGAGGTTGACTTGGTATCACCACTTTAAAAGTGAGATTTTAGTAACACTTCTTTTCTTTCCCCCAAACTGTAAGCAGCCTCCAAGGCTATTCTATTGCTCAAAATATCCTGCCATAGAATATGAATTAGTTTGGGCAGAAACTGCAGCAGTACCATGGAGAATTCTCCTCAGGTCTTCACCTGTTTCCTAATCTGTAGATCTAACCCAACCTGGGACAGCTATGCTTGGCCTCCCTTCTGGTTTTATGCTGCTTTCTCTTCTAATTTCCTCTTCCAATTTCCCTTTATTTAAATTTTTGTTTAAAATTCTTATTCTTCTAAATAACTGAACTTGTTCCAATACCAAAGATATTCCAAATAAGATATGAGAGACAATTGCTTGGAGCATGAATATCAAAGTGCCATTTATGCTTTAAGCTGCAGTAAAATGTTGTGATTTTAAGTTAGACTGAATTGTTATTAGTTGAGGCGAAAAATAACTTTGTTTTCATTTCATTTGTACTGAGATAGGTATATATTTCATCTCAAGGTTATACTTAAAGTGAAAAACCCAAAAAAGAGAACAGAAATACAAGAAACTAAAACAAGTAAGATAAGTCTAAAAGTGGCAAATGTCCCACTGTTCTGTGCATGCTCTGTCCTGCCTGACCTCTGTCTTGTTGGTCCTCATTTGGAGGCTTCACAGCAGAATTCTGTGGCACAGGTGGTAGGGCTGCTTCTGAGGAGGGTAAACTAGCTTGCATTGGCAGCTGCAGGGAAAGAACTCAAAAATTCATTAATTTTGCTGCTTGTGAGCATGTGAAAAACCTGCTGCATGTCTGTATTTTCTTCCAGGCTGGGTCCAGCATGTGGCCTCCAAGGATTGCTAAAACTCGTGAAAATCCTTGCAGCATTTCCATCACTTCGGCATTTAGAGTGAGTTCTGCTAAAGATTAACTTTGCTAACATTTCTCCTCAGCACCCCTTAATGATGGGGGAACTCTTGGACCCAAGAACATTTCATTTGCCAACAAGACTCCTTATTTGGTGACCACACTGAACAGCAGAAATATTCCCAAACTATACCAGCAGCCTAAAAGCTCCCCATTCTCCCTTGAGATACCTGATGGTGGTTTGTTCAGAACCCCTCAGTCCATTCCTGGGGTGTCCCAGGTTGGGAAAAGGTTCAGTACAGAGCCCCTGAGTGCCTCCCCTTCTGCCTCAGCACTGATCAACTGCTTACAGTGACTTCTGTCTTCACTGGATCTCCAGAACAGCCATGACAATCTAACTCTCTCTTAGTTTTAAGCTTGCTCACACTAGAAACAAGTGTAGGAGCAGTAGTCAGTGTTGTTCCATGGCACCTGTGGGAAGGTTACTGGGTTTTGAGAGGGCCTTTGGCTTTATGCAGCCCACTGACCATTTGTCTGTATTGTAGCTGGCCTTTTCATGATATTTCAGGAAAACAATAAAGATTTAAAATTGAAATTTGTCCAATATATTCCAGAATTATCTGTCAGATTAGAAGGGGATCCAGTATCTGAAATTGTGACTAGGTATGAGGAAAACTTCATCTTTAATTCTCCCTTTCTGGAGAAGGAGGTCTTTAGGCAAGGATTTACAGACTGTGCTGGATTTTGTCAGTTCTGTATTTTTGTGTGCACAGGAAATGTCATTTCAGCTTAGCTGGAACACAACTATTTCATAACCATTTAATAAGCTTGCATATCAAAGGAAATGGGTCAAGACATTCAACTAGTAAAAAAAAACCTCGTAGGCTGTAAATTTGGGCAGCAGAATGCTGCTTATTAGAGAAGCTGTAATTTGTGTGATGCTTCATGCTGATTGAGGCTACTGCACAGAAGAAGCTTTTCAAGATAGATAGAGTGGTCTCTGAGGTGAATAAACCACAAAAATTTAGATTAAAAGGGAAGCTAATTCTCTCTTTGTTGTCACACAGCCTTGATGCTCTGAGTGAAAATGGCATAGGAGATGAAGGAGCAAAGAGTCTATCTGAAGTCTTTCCAACCCTGACATCGTTGGAAACATTAAAGTAAGTGCAAGGTTAACAATTCAAGGAAATTTTGAGAAGAAATAGGTTAAACCTAGAGGCATAAGGGACAGTGTGTTAAAAACCATGAGCAGAAGATTCCCATGGGCATGAAATACCAATGAGCCTATGGAGATACTTAATCAGTACATTCATTAAAGATTAATCCTTCCTTATTTCCCTTCAAGGGCTCTGTTTTGACTTTTTCTCTGCATTTGGTCTAAACAGACTGTCCAGATTATATTTTTTAAAAATTGGAAAATAATTTCCCCCACGTTGTAATGTATTAGAATAAATGTGCTCAACTAACAAAGTGATCTCACTTACTGTAGTTTATCACAGAATAAAATAACAGATCTGGGTGCAGAGAACCTCGCTACAGCTCTCCCTTCCTTGTCTTCCTTAAAAACACTAAGGTGAGTAGTTGTATCCTGTTGAGTTGTTTTGAAAACATACCTTGCTGTCTCTGTTAGAAACTGCTGGACAGGGAACAAAGAGGCAAGACTGTGCAGTTTTTTACTTCATTCTTGCATAAAGTCTTCAGAAAGAAGAGGATAAAAGGTATGACAGACATACAGAAGGATATCTTGGGAATATATCAAGGACTGGACTGATGTTTAAAGCCAGTCCACAATACCCACTTAGGAATCACACCCTGCACAGATGAGCACCCAGGACCACCATCTGCTGCAAGCTCAAAGCACGTGTTTGCTGACATAGGGACAATGGTCCATCCCACTGCACTGGAATATCTGGCACAGGCCTGAGGAAAGCAGGGAATGCAAGAAACCCTGGTGTGAAATTCTGCAGTAGTTTGGAGATGTGGAATTCTTTTGAATGCTACACCCCAAATCTTTGAGCTTCATTTTTTAGCATATTTTTAATTTGATCTAATGTAGACAGAAATGTCCTTGTTATCCATAGAATAACAGAATCTAGAGCTATTTTTGCAGTACCTGTGCTAGGTGAAGAAGGATGTGGCCATTTGCCTTACTTGATACATACAGGAAATATGAGTGTGTATTTTAAACTTCAACTGCAAATAAGGGTAGATTGAAAGTTAATGTGTACTAACCATATTTGAAAACCCTTGATCTAATACCTGTTTACATTATCCATTATTCAATTGTGACTATTCTGGTTTGGTTTTCTGCAGCTTGTACAATAATAACATTTGTGATTTTGGAGCAGAAAATCTGGCAAAGGCTCTTCCTGCAATGACATCTTTAAGAGTGCTAGAGTGAGTATGAAACCTTTTGAGATGGCCCAGGAAAGTTTACTTCCTTGAAGACTGAAAATACAAATGTTCTATGATTGATTTTAGAGGAGACAGAAACTTAGGAAGAATATTTCGGGAAAATGTACTTCTGCAGAGTGCAGATAGTCAGTGACTGGAAAGGATTAAGGAATAGTTCACCATAAACCCAAAAACATTGGTCTTAAAGCGGGAGAATAGGCTCAAGGGGATCTGGAGAATGACTTCAGGAACATAGAAAAAGGAATCCCTCAGATGAATTAATATAATGAAGTTCCCATTCAACCTTTTGAGTATGTTATTACAGGTTTTTTGAATCAACATTCTATTTTGGGGGTTTTTCCTTTTTAATTTTTTACCCCATCTGTAGATTAACGTATACATTAAACAGTATTTTTGATTTTGAATGAAAAGTTTGATTACACCGTTTGATTTGGATTAACAAAGTTGTTTTTATTCCTCAGTGTTCAGTATAACAAAATAACTGGTGTTGGAGCCCAGCAGCTGACAGACAGCCTACGAAAATGTCCCCATATAAAGAACTTGGTGTGAGTCTCTTGACAGTCTGTTTGCTGTATCTTCATCCTGTAAAACTGGGTTAGAGATCATGCTAAAGCTGCCTTCTGTATTTGTCAGATTTATAAAAGGCATAAAAGAAGGTAACACCAAAATACAAAATCAGAGATGTTAAAAAATGTTGTCTCTGGTTTCAGCTGCATTAGTTCCCAGTGGTCCCAGGCAATCAAGTTTGTCTTACCTTAAACAGTTTCCACTGAGCCTCCCTTTGTTAATTTTCTACCCTCCCAGAGAACCAGACCCACTCTGTGCTGCACCCCTGTGTTTGAGGGATAAACAGTGAGCAGCCATCATTGGAGGTTAAATATTCTGAAGCTACCAGTACACATTCAGAGGAAGGGAGTTTGATGGAAACTTAGAGAACAGTTAGAGAGACAGGAGTGCAGTTGCGTCCTGTAACCAGAGTCAATAAGGCTATGGAGTACTGAACTGCTTTTTCTAAATCAAAATGCATTTTCCTTTGCTCCATAGCTTATATATTTTCATAGCATGACAGTCAAAGGGAAGGACAACTTAAAAAACAAACAGCAACAACCAAAAAAGCCAAAAACAGATCAAACATGCTAAAAGAAAGTGAAGCAAAGCACACTTCTTAAAATCTCTTTCCTTTCTGAATTTGTCCTTACAGGATGTGGAATCCCACCATTCCCTATGGAGTTCTTGAACACCTTCACCAGCTGGACTCCAGGATCAGTGTGTAGATTCAGAGGATTCCAAAGAGGTAACATAAACCTTGACTCTTTCAGACAACTAGGTTTGTTTCTGTGGGAGCTGTTGATTCCAGGCTCACTGGCAGCAGGCATAGTAACAGCATGCACATGTTCATGGGCAAGTTTGGAGACAGTGGCACACGTCAATGTCACATCAGGCCCCCTTTCCCTGCACTCACCTTGCATCCACCACCTCCCTGGCACCTGCACTAACAGACTGCAAGTGCTTTATTAAGAAAAATGGACTTCTAGAACTCCCAGTCCAGCCCAATTCAGTGACTGGTAGCTGCCCTGCTTACCTTCTGTTTTCTGTTGTGGAAAATCTAAAGGTCTCTGTACTTCTCATGCTTAATAGATGAGTTCTGTATTCCCCAGAGCTCATTTTGTGTTGATTTTTACTAAGTCCTTTCACTTTTCCTTTGTTCTATACAAATCCTCAACAGCTGCTTGTCTCACTATGCAGCTGTACCTGTATTGTACTCAGAGCAGAACACTCCCTCCTACATTCCTTGTTCTCAGTCTCATTGTGTGGTTTAGCCAGTGGCTGCCCCTTTTACTTCATTGATCCTGCCTGAAGAGTTTCAAGAATCCTTTAAGTAATTGCATTGTGAAGAGTTTAATAAGTTTGTCAATGATTATGAGGATCTGACTGCCTGGACTGAAGGAGCTGCATCCAGCATGGGAATTTGAGGGGCTTATGTAGGATTTCTGCTCCCAGTTTTTTGCCATGTGCTTCCTCTTGCTCTTAAAAAAAAACATTATGCATGTTGCATCAATTAAATGATTCCAGTGAATGCCAGAGTCAAGCCAGATATCAGATGTGCTCCAGCTTTCTTTAGATGGCCAGAAAACAAATTGCAGTGTGATCACCAGCTGCATGAGACATGCTTTGAATGGGCCTGGCCATGGGATGGCTGCAGCTGCCAGTGGCTCCCTGGACCACGCAGTGAGCCAAGCCTTTGCATGACTCCTGCTCTCAGAGCAGTAATCACCAGATGTAGACTGTTTGTATGGCACTGACCTGGCTACAGGTTGTGGAAGGTTAAGGTGTCATGGCAGCTTCACAGACCAGCTTTATACAACAGCAGTGAAAAATTGTGGTGCTCCTTGCTAGCCTATAGTCCATAAAATCTTTGTCCTGTTTAACAACCCTACCTTCCTGAGAAAGGAGACACTAGAGATACACTATCAGGAAACCTGCATTAGCCCTGAGGATAAATAGCAGCAGGAACTCTGGATCCTGTCTCCCAACCTTGAAACATTCAACATCCACCAGCCACTGTTGTCTGTTTACAGAGCTCATCAAATCTATGATTCTGGTAATCATAATGGTAGTTAATCTGATGTACATCTAATGTTCTGTTTTCATCATTTTACAGGTGTCATAAAGAAGAGGGGAAGGTGTCCTCTGTGTTTTCCTGTCTTCTTTCTGCTTTATGAATCAGTGTTTTCATGTTTGTTGCAAAAATATCACATTTAAGTTTCTAAGCTATGCTAAAATGGGGTGAATGATAGAGTTTTAAAATGCTATTCAAAGACCCAGCTGTATTTCTACTTAAGTGGTAGAAGAGTTAAGCAACATCAAGCTTCAAAGATGAAAAGAGCATCTGGATACTGTGACCACCAATAAAAGAGACCAGGAACCATCAGGATATTGTGAGTATAAAATTCCATCATCGAGTCATGGAAGTGTAAACTGAAAGCTGCTTAAATTGCAACATCTGAAGCACTGACAGATCAAATCTGATTGTTTGTTTCATGGTGCCAGAGGTAACTGCCATCAGATTTGGTCTGATGATTTTGGACTTTCAAAGATCAAAGTTACAGATTTCACCTATCTGTATGGACTGATTGGAAGCACTAGGGTGAGGAGCATAAAAAAGAATCATCGAGCCCTAGAAAACATTCTGATATTATAAGATTATCCACAAGAATCTAAAAGTCGCTCTTTTCTTCATAATAATCAGTGAATCTAGAAATTGCTCTTTTCTTCACTAGTAACCAGTGCTGCCTGAAGGGACAGAAACATATCTTCTATGACTTGTTACAGAATCTGTCAAAAAGACTGGTGGGTGGGAACAAAGAAGAGAAGAATTGAAAGTGAAAACTATGAAAGATTTTTTTAACATTATTGTAGAAATCCAAATGGATAAAAATAGCCAGTTTATTGCACACAAATCCTCAAACAATCTTTGAAGGTTTTTACTTTGTCTCAAATGAGAACTTTAAATTCATATACCTGGATTGGTAATTTCTTAAATGCAGCTGGCAGCATAAATGTTTACAAGCACCAATTTTATACTTGACAGTGATATCACTACTATGTGTGGTTTATGTGACCTTCTGGTACAGAGTTATGAGTAACCAGGCAATCAGACAAAAGCACATCTCAAAGCACTATCATGTCTATGCTGCTGGTCTCAGTCATATGTGGGCCAAATATGCATTCTGCTGAGTGCAACAGCAAATCAATTGTCTCTTTTATTCTTTTATTTCTGCTCTGTGAACATGAAGAGAACTTAAAATTGTGCAGAGGCAATTGTCAGGTCAGGAGCACCATTCTGGCTTCCTGTCCAGATACAGTCTGAGACAGTACCACAAAAAGGGAGGGAAAAACCTAGGAATGCTCAAAATGCTACAAATTGGGAAGTTTATACTTCACAGTTAGCTCAGGGTTAGTTCAACAACCTCTTTGAAATCTCTTCTGCTAGGAAGCACTGACAATACTGACCCAAGGATCTGTGCAAACTAGAATCTCTCAACTAACCTCTCCAACACTCTGTTTCTTGGTCTTTTAAAACTCCCACATTTAAACAGTTCAGAACCACAACATTCATTTTCTTTTGAACAAATTTTACTCCTCTGCTTAAGTTTCAATGCCTGCAGATTCTTGACATCAGGTATGTGGACAAATTAAAGACAGTGAACAAATTAAAGAAAAAAGGGAGGAAGGAATACTTGTTCATTGTTTCTGAGAGCAGAGAATCATAGAACATGTGAAGGAACAGCAAGGTGGAAAAACACTGTGGAGAATATGATTGTAATTAGAATGTGGCATTTCTGTTAACTATCTGCATGGTTCTGATCTCTAACCAAATTCTAGCCAGAGCCATGGATAAAAAAATCTTATTTATTCTCTCCTCTTTGAGCTGCTTGAATGAGAGGGAGTTTGAGCCAAATCTGGTGTGATATTCCCATCAGCCTGCAGCACTCCAGCCATGCACATCCGTGGTGAGCCCTTGTCTTGGCTTCTCTTAAACCAAGCTTTGGATGACAAATGCCCCTTTAGGGATATATTCTGCAGCTGCACTTTACCGTGACTGAGTCTGAGAATGTGCTAAATATTCCACAGGCAGCTGAATGTTACAGGATGCTGTCTAGACTGCTAAAATCATGTTTGGTGTACTGCAGTTCTCTGAGTTAGTAGGAGATGTACATTTATAATCTACCGATTGTAAATCTTGATATTTTGGCGTTGGTTTGTGTTTTGGTTGTCTTTACACATCTTTTTTAAAGTATTAATAAAAGTGTTTAACAGTACCTTTTAGTACCCGTTGAAAATGTTTCTCTTGGAAATACTATGAAACCACACATCAACTGCTGGCTTCTGCCACAGTAACAGGCTTGGGGCTTTGTATTGCAGGTTCATGGGAAGCACTGTGTGTGAGGGAGACAGGATGGTCCTGCTGGCACTGAACAGTTCACTGGGCTGGAAATTAAGAAATAATTCTTTCTTAACAGGAACAAGTTCTTGCAATGCCAAATGACAGACTAAGTTCAGGATCAGGAGATACAAATGTGCTGACTGAGGCCACCTGCTAATAAAAGCAAAATGGGGTTTTCATCCTTTCTAAATCTTCGCAGTTAGAAGTTCTAAAATTAATCCACATTCAAAGTCTGGTGTTCTTATGCCATCAAGCTCCTCAAAATGCTTTTGTCAAAAGAGTGCCTTGTGTATAGAAACTGAATTCACTAGCTACCATCTAAGAAGCTGTTGTGATCAAATCTCTGTTATAAAACACCTTTCAGGATGAGAAAAATGCCGCTCTCTTTATGTCCATCTTTTTGTTGTCAAAGAAGTCTTGCTAAAATGCCAAGGATTGTGTTATCATGTTAGTCAGAGCCTGTAACACTCTCCCCAACCTTTAAATGCATGATGCTGAGCTGTTCTGAGAAATCAGAAATCTTGATCTAAGATTCAGAATCTCCAAAGTGACTGACTCAAGGAAATTTGTATTGTTTTATTGACTGTGTGGCACAAACCCACTGCAGAGAATTTATTAAACTCCTAGGTACTGCACCAAGTACCAATAGTGACAAACTGAACCAGGTTCTTAAAAAGGCATAAATGGGATCCTGCAAAACTAGTGAAGCCATCTCTGTGAGCACTACGAATTAGTAATTATAAAGGCAGCAAGAATGCCCCCTGCAGTAGCAAAATTCAGCCTTAACTCTGTTAGTAGCAAATGGGTACATGAACACAAGCTTGACACATTCATGAACTTGAGTATTCTTTCTATAGGTACCTAAATGGGGACATGCCTTCCCTAAATGTATCTTTACGTGTTAGAATAATGTGCCCTAAATGACTTCATTCCTGAATTGCTGTCCTGGGATTGTGTGGAACAAAACACTTGTCAGTGTTTAAAGGTCCTAAACTGCACCTGATGAAACCTATCTTGGAGGAATGCTACTTGGTTTGTGTCAGTGCTTCCCCTCTTGCAGAAGCAACTGAAAATTGTATTTAGACCACAGAATTTTGGGAACTGGGAGCTCATTTCTACTGCCTAGGAGCTAAAATGTGCTATTTGAATGGAACATACTGGGAGTATCAGGATACACGAGTTTGTCATTGTTTCATGGGGGATCTAAACCATCACCCTCCTGTTCCCTCATACTGGCTGAAAAGAGACTTCTGACACCATCTGTCTGCAGTGGGGAGCCCACGCTGGGAGCAGATGGCAGACACAGACTGCAGAGGACAGACATCATGCAGAAAGTGTCAGCAGAATTGTTTTCAATTCTTTACCCAAAATGTTCTTGATACATCAATTCTGTTTAAAAATTGAACAGTTACAAAAATTAGATTTTTCTAAAAAGCATGACCATAAAACAAAACCAGTCCAATGCCTGCCCTAATAACATCCCCCCCTCCCCCCCTCAGTGCCTGACGGTTCAGTTCAGGTCTGATTTTTTAAGTAGCTGTTCATGAGGATTTCCTACCTGCTGGCCATCTCAGCAATCTGGAATTACTTGTAGGTACCTATAGGAAAACTGGAATTTCTTTGAAAGCATATTTCAGTTATTTTCTTTACAAACTGAAGAACAACTCCAACACAAATGCTTGATTTTTCATGGAAAAGGTCAGTCTTTATTGTATTGCTTTCACATCTGTACATAGGAACGTGAGCTTAAACAATCTGCAAAGTATCCTGTGTTAAATAATGAATCCACCTGACTTTTATAAAATTCTCTCTCTGATCTATTTCAAAACTCTCATTTTAAATAAAATATGTTACTAGCACAGTTCTTGCCATAATACTCCCTGAACAGAACCTCCTTCAGTAACTCCTGCATATTTTCCCCTGAGAAAGCACTGCCTTTGAACTACTGGCTGGTAAAATTTTCAACGTGTGATTGTAAAACTGGCTTAAGCTATATGTGGAGTGTGTCCATTTTGGTGACATGGTATTCATTCAAAAGTTTATCAAATCTGGGTAACATCCTGATTTTCTGTTATAATGGAACATAGTTTATCTTATTTTTTCATGTAGTCCATCCCAGAATTACCTATGGAAGCCCGTATGGTGCATGAACACTGCAGTAAGTGCACACACAAGAGGCAAAGACCATGAAGAGAAGTCACAACTGACAAGGTCTGATGACAACTCTTCTTCTTGTTCTCCTTATTTTCATCTCTACATTTCAGAGTATAGTTTCTTTCCAGGACTTGATCCATTAGCCTGCTCATCATCCATTTCAGGTGTTTAATGCATCTGTTTAAAAGAAAACACATAAGTACAGAGTAACCCTTCATACCTAAAATGAACAGGAAAGTCACTGAGTATGCAACATACAGCACCATGTTGTTGACTTACTAGAAAAAAAAAATTTAAAATCAGATCCTTTTGTGACTCTGGGTAATAATTCTTTGAGAAGTAAAGAGCTGCACAACCATTCAGAGAAATGAGTGTCACAGTTTCAGTTAATGTCAGAGCACACCAGTCCTTGGGAATTTAAACAGAGCCATAAAGATACCAGTGTGAGGGGTATGATAGGTACATCAATTACCAGGGGATGCTCTTAAGGGTAAAAAACAGTTGTGACATACAGTGGGATAACCTATTTTATCCAGATTTGATATCATTAGACCTACTAATTAAAACTGATGTTTGAACTGGCTACATTATCTTGACTAGACAGCATTCATTAGAGCATTTTTATTTTTTTGATCATTGTGTTAATTAAGCATTGACTACATTTGATGTAGTCCCTGCTTTTGGTCACTTTCTCTTCTACTTTAGAGTCACATTGTTCCAACTATTTTGGATCCACTGGTAAGTAGTTACAGAGCTAAATAACACTTAGGGGTAACTTCTTGGTCTTACTGCCAAGAATAAATTACTGTTATATTGCTTTATCCCAGTTTAGATCAAGTCAAAGTATCCCATGCTATTAGGAGGTGATTTTTTACAATCATCAAGGGCACATACAAGGCTGAGAAGATTTCTTTAAGTAGATCCAGAGCTATGGATTATGAAGGTGCTGGGCACTAGTGACAGTATTCATCTGCTCTTGTGATTTTACAGATGACTAATTAGCATAGTGTAGAATGGTGCAGCTCTGAGGGGGTGACTGGGGATGAGTCTGTGTTGAGGAGGAGTTGAGGTAGAGCAGACCACGAGCAGGTCCCCTTGCTGCCTGCAGCTCAGGACATTTCTGTCTTGTGTGCAGCAAGTTGCTGCATGGACAGCTCCTCCCTCCTTCCCCTTTATGGATCTGAATGAAGAATGAAGTCTGATGGTCACACATTCTGCATGAGCTTGGACAGACAGAGCAATAGTGTCATTAACAAAGGCATTACAGAAAGCCAAAAGCAAACAGGTTGACACAGGACTGAGGGAAAGGCTCTTTCATGGATTGAAAGCAGATTAAAAGATTGGAAGCAAAGAATAAAGCTTGGTAGGAAAGAACTCAGTAGCAGAGTATACCAGGGAACAATTTTTATTCATCACCATTACTGACTCAAAGAAGAGGATGAATAGAAAAATTTTCAAGACTGCACAAAATAAGCTCTTTCAAGTATTCAGATCCTGTACTGACAGGAAGGAAATCCAGAGGGATTTCATAACACAGAGTGGGCAAAGGGTGGCGGGTTTGGAAAACATTTGCTAAAGGGCTGGGCAGAAATGTGCCTTCTAACATCCTGCAATTCTGCCTCGAGGATTTGGGAAAGCAGAGGCAGCCTGCAGATTTTGGTCAGGACCATGAGCTCTCCCAGAGGTGGAACACAGGGCTTTAAGATCGTGGTCTGACTCATCACAACACTTCCATGTTCCTGTGTGCCACTTACTGCAGATACTAGGTCAGAAACAAGAAGCACTTTTGTGTCCAGTGAGGCATTTCTGTCAAATGTCTGTCAGCTACAGTACCTGTTAACAGAACACATCTGCTCAAAATCCTTCTCTTAAAATGAGGACATGAAAAGGGGGAACAGCAGCTCCACCACGTTACTCATTTCATGTTTATCTGATTGCTTTCCAAGTGGAACTGAAAACTGGTCTACAGCAGACAGTTCAGTGAGGTTAGTATTCTGCACTGCAGATCAGATTCTAGGCTGACTTAAAAATAGCACAGCAAAATGTATTGGGCCTCCAAAGCAAAGTGTAAAGCTGCCTAATGGTAGTTCCAAATTGTGCTGTAGGGCAAGACTGTAATTTGTTGTGGCAGATATTAAATGGGGTGTAAATTACACATTTGGCCAGGATATTCATTCCTGCCTTTCTAATATTCAGATTAGAAATCTGTCCCTCAAATTTCATGAGAACCTATCTTTTAACAGAAAACTTCAAAAATTTCAGAAAACTGGAAAATAAAGAGGTAGAAAATATTTTAAAGTATCTTTTAAGTCTCAGAACTTGGACTTTCAATAGCTTAGAACATACCTGCAAGCACTGATCAGTATGGCTGTAGCATGACTCTGGCATTAACAACTCAGTCACATCTTTGCTATTTCTGCCTTTGAAGTTACTGTTCCTCACAATGCAGGCTGGAGCAAAGGATGCATGGTGTGACTCTGTTTCACATCCTGACACTGTCTGTTTTCCACTTCCTCGCTTTCTGCAGCAATGTTTCAGTTCTTGTGGCCTATTTGGGCTCTCCTGCCTGAGCAACCCTTGGCTCTTTCTTTCTGGCCCTGAAAAGAGTATTTAGCCTTAAGTCTGTGAACCAACCTGGGGTTTCCCCAGCAATCCATCACTCAGTGCACATCATCATTTTCCATTATAACATTATTTCCCCTATATGACTCCTATTTGTCTTTTCCCTTTTTATCACATATATTAGACACACACTTGTGTCTTCAGAGAGCATCATTCAAACTATTCAGCTATTTTTTCTTTCCAAATCTGTAGCCAAAGTAATAAAATTCAACTGCAAAAAGAAAGACAGTCTGACAGTTTCCCTGAACGACTGAAAAGGTTTAGCAACTTGTGCATATTTAATCCTTAGGGATAGTTGTACTCCTTATAAGCTAGGATCGTTATGAGGGGACAAATGCAAAGAGTTCAAGAGTAAATGTCTCTAAACAAATTATTCTTTTCTTCTGTTTTAGGATGGATAGTTATTAGCTGAACTATAATGTCACTTTATCCCTCCTTGAAGAAACAAACATGAAGAATTAAATTAGATTCATTTCTTAATTCCTTTGACAGCTTAAAAGTGGTAATTGGCTATTGCCTCCCATTGAAGCAAGTTTATTACAGAAAGCTTGATTTGCATAGGAAAGAACCACAGACTTTTAACACATGCACATACTTTTAAATGATTCTTTAAAGTTACTTGTGACTGAGACTTTTAACACATGCAATACTCAGGCCTAAACTATATCTATCAAAATTGAACATCTCTCTAATTTCTGTGCCTCATTTTAATTCACATTATTAGTATCACCACTTGGAAAAGTTTTTGAAAAATCTGCTTACTCTCTTACTCATAAATAAATGCATTTGATAGAAAATGACTTAGAAATGTCCATGGCTGTGGTTAATGAGTCTGTATGGACAGCTGAATAGTTTACCATGATTTTGTCTTCCTTCCATCTGGAATGGAATTCCTGTTAAGTACATGTTTCTTTAAAGCAGAGCTGTCACATGAGTTTGAACACTGGATTTCTATTAATTTTAATAACAAAAATATCTAAAAATTCAAAACACAGTTCTAAAAACCATAGCAATTGCACTTAATCCTGTTGCTACTGTAACTCATAAAACAGCCAACTGACCTATATCATGGAGTCAACAAATCACCTTGGTGATCTCTACAAAAAGGGGAAAAATAGTAGAAAATGGCAAAGTAAATTAAGTAACAAACTACTCTGCTCATTATTTTTAGTATTTAAAGTCTGAAAAGAAAAAAGTCAGGAAGTGGATTCGGATACATTTAAATGTATCCTGACAGTGCTAGTGACATCATTCTTCTGTCCCTTGCAGGACATCTCTGCTTCAGAACACAGGCACAGGGGGTGGCTGTGCCATAGACACTGAGCCTGCAGTTCTAACTGCCACTATATTGATGAGCTGGGAAGTTAAGCTATTTTTTTTTCCTTTATTCAAAATTTAGATGCTGGCATTCATCTGAAGTGCTGAGTCACAGGTTTTTGAGTGCTGAATTTTGCTCACTGAAGATATTCATAATTCATCTTATTAAATACAGGTAAAGCATGTACTGCAAGATTACATAAATTCAATCTTGCTTATTCAGTTTTCATTATTGATTACTTTTGCCCATTTTCTTTCTGATAGGAGTACTTTCTGATGAGTGATATCTGATTTTATTAAAGTATGAGAACAGTCATATGACCTTGTTCCAAGGTGCTTCAAATATAGGATAAAATAACCTGGCACACTCACATGAAAACAGTAGATGACATGAACAAGTTCAATTCTGTTCAATTTACACAGATGAATTTCTTCATTTGAATAGGCCAGGAAACATTTTCCAGCTGCTAACTTATCTGTCTGACTTCAATCTCTGCCACAATTAATTATGCTCAGACACTTGGACATCATTTTGCTTCTACTGAGTTTATTCAAGTGAGGGGTTTGCTGCCAGAGAGCACAGAGCTGTTCTGATCCACGTGTTCTTTTATTTTTACATCTAAATTAGCCTTTCCACATACTGCAGAAAGGCCTCCTGGGATTTGCCCCCTCTGTTTTCCTGTCACACGTCACTCACCCAGGGTGTGAGGCACCGCTCTCCCAGGCACGGAGGACGCTGCAAGGTTTTGGCTCAGGCTAATCATAGCTCTTTGGGTGTTCTCAGAAATCACTGGTGAGTCACATGAAAAATGTGCTGTTCTTTAATGCAAAGAGTAGGCCTATGTATTTTTCATCACTGCTGGCAAAACAGACCCATTCTTCCTGCAGTGTCTTGTGAATCTTCAAAACTTCTGGATGTAAGGGAACAGAGCAGGTGGGAAACCTTCCCAGGCCAGGAGAGCAGGGGTTAACACTCACACAAACTCGGGTCACTGCAGGCAAGGCACCACAAGAATTTAAATCCTCCCTTTCAGGGCCTTACTGCTGCTCCCAAAGCAGAAAACACAGCTCCAAATTAGGACCCTCTCCTCCCTGCTTTGCTACTACGGAACTGGTGAGGAATGGCACAGAATACTGAAGAAACCTGGAACCAGGATATTAACTCAAATCCCTTGTCATGGGGATAACACTGTGTTTTTGCCTGGTAGCTAAATAATTATGCAATTTGTGGCCTGGTTGCTAAGTCTGTAAGTATAATTAAATACAGAAATAGATGAAACACAGTAAATCTTTTGCTCCCTAAGAATTTATCTAACTTTTGGGATTTGTGATTTGATTCTCAGTGGAAAACACCATTTATCATGACAGCTTCCAAATGAAAGATCGAGACTGGAGCTGGTACCTGTGAAGAACTCCATTAGCTCTGGGTAGATATAGACTGAGCCTTACTTCTGAGCTTTGAGAAAACCTCTGCATTTTGATTTCTGCATATCAAAGATATGGAGGGTTTAATAGTTAGAATATCAAGAAGTTTCCAGAGCTGCTTATCTCATTAATATGAAGGTAAATTTTAAGAAGCCCATTAATCTATACTGAACAGTGCTCATATCAAATAATATATTCATATAGTAGGAAAAACCCACAGAGGAAAATTGTGTCTGGTGTTCTCCTTAAGTCTTCCTGAAAACTAGACACAACTCATCAAGACAAATTCTAGACAGAAAAAAGTGATTTAAAAAAGTATTTTTAATCCCTCTACTAAATGGCATTGGAGCCATAAGATTTGGAATTTGAGGAAAGGTACCTTGGGGAAGAAAATGGATATGGTTTTTAGCACCAAAGATTTTGCTTAAATTACCATTAATTTTTAGGAATTTCTTTTCTGGAATACAGAGCATGTGTATTATTTCTCCATCTGAAAAAGGAGACAACTACAAAAGCAGTCAGTGGTGTTTTGTGGGGAGGACTGCTCCACACTTTTTATTCTAGAAGTGATTCTAATCCAGTTGCTTGGGATGGACCACCAAATGCTGGCATAGACACTTCCATCTGCAGTGACTATATGCATAGAGATTTCTTCAGTAGCAACAAAATCTGTTCACTCCCTCGTTAGGCTCCCATGTGCCTTTGGGCAAGCCTTGTTCAGCAGTTTGTGCAATCAATGTTACTCCAATACCCCAAAATGTCCAATTTTTCATTCTAAACTATTGACCAAAATCAGCTAATACTACTTTACACAGAATCTGACTAGAAATATTCAGGAGATAATTTTAACCTATATGAAGGACAGAACTACAGGAAATGTTTGTTTGGGTTTGTTAAATTAGAAGACTGCTTAGAATAGTTTGATATTAACTGGTGTTTGTATAGCGTGGTCACCGAGTTTACACTTGTAACACTGTAAGTGAATTTCCTATGTCCATTATTTCAAACAGAAAAATAAAGATATCCTGAACTGGTCTTCAGATTTACAGACAATATTTTGCTAAAAAATCTGCTGGCAGATTTGCTAACACATTTTAATTCAAACTGTGAATGTTTTCATTAACATACTTTTGGCACAGAAAGTCCTAGCTAAAAATAGTGATTTTTCTTCCCGAATGCATTTCAGTGTTTTAAAATGCTAAGTCCTTACATTTCCAGAGTTTTAGAGTCACTCAAAACTACAAAAAAAAAAAAAAAAAACCAAAAAAAAAAAAAAAAAAACCAAACAAACAAAAACCAAACTGATCAAGCAAACCTTCGTCCTACAATTAAAATGGGAAGATGGTGAGCTGGTTAATTTGTCATTATCCAAGAGAATGGTTTTAAAGGGCAGCAAACTAAGATGTATTTCTGACTCGAGGAAGGTCTCTGAATTGTAATAAATATTAACCTCGTTGCTCGTTGCGATTCAGGGCTGCTTTCAGGACCGGATCAGCAAAGTTGCTGCCCGGCTGTACAGGCAGCCCCCAGCAACACAGCTGCAGTGGCTCGGAAGATGAGTCCCGAGGGAGAGGGACGCTGTCCCCG